AATGTGGCGTTTCCCTCCATGATGCGGGAAACCAACGAGAAGCTTGGGCTTGCAAAGTAAGCTGCTGAAGCTGCAGATTTTTTTCTCTTATCAGGCTGTTGTCTGGCGCTCTCTCATCTGTAGCGCTCTCTCGCCTCATACTCTCCTCTCCGCGCTTAGTCTCTCATTCCCTTAGCACAGCCGATTAGGAAGGTGAGTGAGCCCTTAACCTAAGCGTTTTCGACGGATTCTTTTCCTTTTTCTTTACTGCCGGCCCACTTCGCACCAATACATTCGCATTCGTGTGCGAGAGTCACACCAATGTGATCTTGGGGCGAAGCTGGCCCGTTTTAGATTCAGAATTGTGCAAAATGATGAACCTATTGCGCAAAAATGGCTTTCGGCTTCACAATCCGAGAATGATTTCCCATTACACAGAGTGGGCTAAAATTATGATAACCAAGAAATTTTATAATTAAAAACAGATATTAACCTAATCAATCAAACCTACAACAGAAAAGCATTTCCCAGTAGTATTACCAAGCAAGGCTAGATTGGGATTTAAATCTCACCTACTGCACTCATAGAGGCCTTCAGATGAAGAGGGAAGGCGTGAATAGTGGCACGCAGGTGAGACACGTCGAAATGATTCCACATTTATGTCGTGCCCTCTTCAGGGAATTAGACTTTTTGGGGTTCAGGTTTGCTCTTGCTTCCAGGTTCACTATGCGGATAATCCAGCTTAACTCGGTATGGGATTCCCAGGTAGAATTGCCCGAAGACTATGAGCTCGAAAAATTCCTCTTTGCAAAATTTTTGCTTCAAAAGTTGGTGCCTGGTCCCTCCCTATAAAACGTCCGAGGTCATTTATTAGGTGGCTTCCTGTCCATGACAGACAGCGGGACTCAGTAGCATGATAAGCGTAAGTGAGTGATCCTATTGGTAGTAAGTAATAAGTATGATAAGTGATAGTAAGTGATCCTTTACATCAATTTTCAACTTGGCGGTAAGAAAACCGCAAGGTGGAGAACGAAGTTCTGCGTTTAATATCAAACGCAGAACTTTTCCTGGTGCTCTCCTTGCGTTCTATTCTCCTTCGTTTCTAGCTAGGATGCTTCTTAACTCATTGAGGTAATCAACCGTTAGCCAAGAATGCTTTTTTGTAACGTTTAGCGCGCTAGATTGAGCGTGCCAGAGCCTCTTGTCGGTCCATCTGAGGATCGGCTTACCGTGGTGTGATTACTTCACTATTTCCGAGAACTGCGTGATATTTGGTATCGCTGGAAAGCGGACATTCTTCTCTATCATAGTATGCCCAAAAACGAAGAGAAAATTGAAGAAAAATTTGATTTGAAAAGAAGTGAGTTTGACCGCGCGCACTCTTAGCTACCATAATTTTGGTCCATCCTGTATTCAGTGACCTGAAAAATGAGGAAAAAAATAAGGAAAATAATCTAAGCTTCTTAATATGGAACAAATTGCCGGATATTTTCATGAGTGCCAATGTCACTGTGCTTAAATTTCCTCGGTTTGTAATATTCCAATTTTCGCTGTTCCATTTCTAGGACCATATCTTCCGGCTCAGGTTTTCGACTCTCGAAAAATGACATCGACAGGTCGTATTTCGAAGTTGGCTTCATGTGTGTTATGAGAATTTAGTTGAATGGCTCCGTTACTGGCCATGCCAAGTAAAAAAATGTGAAACTTTTGGACCACTTCTGTGTCACGCGACGAAACATACGGGAAAAACTGCTCGTTTTAGACCGCTTTCCTTTCGCTCCTGAGCGGAGTAAGGCAAGGCAATGCAACAGACGACACTTTTGTGTAAGCCTCCATAACTAGTATAAAGTATGAAATACTTCTTAGCAGTCAGAAGCAGTCTGAGCACTAGGATTTCTGCAACGGAGCTGGATTTCGGCAAGGTTGGCGGACCTACTAAGTTGGTATCCGGAGCTCTACTTCCATGCCTCTTGAGTTTGCAGTGTTGGCGGCCACTGCCCTTCTGCGCTGGATTTCCGCTCCCTGTTCTAGCAGATCTCCTTTTGGGGGCCATTTGGTTATTTCGCTTATGCTTATCGGAGATATGTTTTTACTCATTAGTAACATTCTGTTTTTTGTAGCTTTGTTTTCTGATAATAAATATAAATATAAATA